CTGTGTCATAGCAGGAATGATGCCAATCTGCCTCATCATCAAAGAGGATGTGGAGTGCTATGACACGAGGACCATTCGAGGGGTGCGCAACAACGCGCGCGCGGTATCGATTGCGATGTGGCAGTCAGAGTGGGAAAACTCCATAAAGGGGAGGTGGACCTACCGCTTAATACCTTCCGTATCAAGCTGGGTCAACAGGCGCCATGGGGAAGTAAACTTCCACCTGACACAGTTCCTGTCAGGCCATGGTTGCTTTAGGAGTTACTTGCATAGGTTCGGACATGCAAGTACTCCCACCTGCCCCGTGTGCGCTGGTGTCGAAGAGACGGCGGAATACGTTGTGTTCGCCTGTCCACGCTTCGAACCATTAACGAGCGTTATACTAGCGATATGTGGAGTGGATACCAGTTCGGATAACATCGTCCCTAGGATGTGTGGTACCACCGAGATCTGGAGCGCGGTGGTGACTGCGGTCACCCACATAGCTTCGGAACTACAACGAGTGTGGCGTGCCGAGCAGCAGTTGCCTACTGTTCGACTAGAGCGTTAGGGTATGACTAGAGGAGCGCTATAGCGCACAGGCCCCTCCCACGAAGTAATGCCTTCGGGCGGTTCCGGGGAGGTCAAGGGTCAAGCGCACAGGTTGGGGTTTAGTGGGTCGGGAGTGCAATTCTCCCATCCCCACACCCTGAGTTACTTTCTCAGGTGTCTGTGAGCAGATTCCCCCCTGTATATTGACGCCCTTTCAAGGATGTTCGTTCACTCAGTTCTAGATAGAGCTGGAATTATGGCGTAACAGCTTTTGTAAACAATGACTTCTCTCGATGATTTCTCGGAAGCCATGGCTCTCCCTGGTAAATCGAGACCACCATCGAGTAGAGGAAGGCTTCTCCTTCCCTATGGATATGTTGGTTTGTGTAGGTGTGCCTTAAATTCTGAGTAAAACGCTGTCCAGACTGGAGAGTTATAACATGCTATAACGGTTGTCAAATAATTGCAACACAGAAACCACCATCAAGATAGCGCTATAACATGTTATAACTCTGTAGTCTGAACGTACTATAATCAACGAGAGAAGTCATTGTTTACAAAGGCTGTTACACCCTAATTCCAGCTCTATCTAGAGTTGACTTAGCTAAGGACATCAATGAAGTTAATTCGTTCGAGAACTCTCTGTACGTGGCTCAAATTCAAGATCCTGTCATCTGCCAATTGAAAGCATCCGCAGCAAATGGAGACCTAAAAGGATACGAAGTCCGAGATAACTTGTTGTTCAGAAAGGATAAAAACCGTTCATTATTGTACGTGCCTCAAGCAATGGAAGATTCTGTTGTTTACCGATTCCACGACTCAATGGGGCATTTCGGTAAGGATACAGTTATGGAATTGATCAAGCGAGCATTTTGGTTTCCAAATATGTTAGAAAAAGGAGCTGCCCACTGTAAGAAGTGTATATCCTGTATCCTGTTCAATCCAAAGGCAAGGAAAAAAGATGGTGAACTTCAAAACATCGCCAAAGGAAACCGAACATTTTGGAATTTGCATGCAGATCATCTTGGTCCGCTAGAGACAACGAATGGGAAGAACAAGTATATTTCGGCGGTGGTAGATGGATTCGCAAAGTTCCTGAAACTGTACCCAATAAAAACAACCAGCTCCAAAGAAGTAATGAAACATCTGAAATCATATTTCATCAACTACAGTACTCCAAGAATCCTTATCACTGAGCGTGGATCTTGTTTTACATCGCAGCCGTTCAAGAAATTTGCGGATTCCCATGGATTTACGCATACTCTTGTAGCAACAGAATGCCCTCGGGCAAATGGTCAAGTAGAGAGGTACAATCGTACACTGCTTCCAGTACTGGCCAAATTTAATGAGTCCTTTAAGACGTCCTGGGATACTGTGCTCATCGATGTTGAGTATTTTCTCAATAATTCGATCAACCGTGGAACTGGGTCGATTCCATCAAAGTTGTTGTATGGAGTGCAACAGCACCGAAAGATTAACCCTGATGCCGTTCAATACTTCCAGGACCTGCTTGAATCATCTGATCGGCTAAATCTGGAAGACGCACGGAACAAGGCATTAACGTTAGCTTTTATCTATTTCAGGACGAACATGAATTTGAATAACATAACTGACTGGAAAACAAACATAACACAACCATTTGTAACGCAGGGACTAGGCATCAGTAGGAGAAATGTTCCGCAGGATGGCCGAGCTGTAGAAGAGAAAACATTCTGTGTAGTTATTACGGAGTTGTGTTCCATTTTCATACCCCTCACATATTTCAGTTCAGTGTCTGAAATATAGCGCGGCAAAGACAGACTCCCACTCGAGACACACATTGTTTAGCTAGCCAGAATCGAATGCGGAAGCAAATAAATTCGTTTCTAATTAAAGACTACAGTAGTTCTGACGAGCAGTTTTGAGAAATTCTGAGGAGGACTTCAGAATAGTTCTGATGAGAACTTCAGAGTATTTCTGTGGAGAGTTTCAAAGTAGTTCTGAGGAGACCTTCACAGTAAAGCTCGATTGAAAGTAAATCTGGACGCACGGTTTGATACACCACCGCGCCCCTGGTGGTTGGAACAAAAAATGTTTGACAGGCATTTGTTGATGTTTCATGACGAAGAAATTGGTGAAAAGTTTTTCTCGATTGATCGACACATCCCGAAATTACGGATCATGGAACTTGAGAAAAGAAAATTAATTGTGTACAAACATCTAGAGAACCCTTCGTGGTCTGCCTCAAAAATAGCACAAGTGTTAAAAATCCCACAGTCAACGGTGAGTCTTGTAATCAAACGTTACAAGGATACTCTGAGTTTGGATAGAGCACAGCGCATCTATCATAAAAGTGGCACTAGGGGCAAAGAGCTGAGGAGAAAGGTGTTGAGGTACGTTTAAAGCAGCCCAGGTGTCGCCATACGTGATTTGGCAAAGAAATACGATTCCAACTTTTCCACCGTGCGTAACATGCTTTCAAGAGAAGGATACAAGTCTTTTTTGTGCCAGTAAACATCCGAGTCTCTCCCTGAAACAAAATTTAGTGGCCAAAACGCGAGTACGATTACTATACGAACGAGTTTTGACGAAATTTGATGGCTGTATTTTAATGTATGACGAAACATATGTCAAAATAGATTATAAACAAATCCCCGGACGAAAATTTTACCTGTCAACTGGTCGTGGAGATGTCCCTTCCAGGTATATATTTGTTTTTGCTGATAAGTTTGCTCGGAAACTAATGATTTGGCAAGGAATCTGCAGTTGTGGCCTTAAAACCAAGGTTTTCATCACATCTCACACAATGACGTTGAAGGTTTATATTAAAGAGTGTCTGAAAAAGCGAAATTTACCCTTCATTCGGCAACATAAGACCAACTTTATGTTTTGGCCGGATCTAGCCAGCTGCCACTACTCTAAGGAGGTACTAGAATGGTATGCTGCAAACAATGTTAATTTCGTCGCCAAAGAGATTAATCCTCCGAATTGCCCTGAGTACAGACCGATCGAAAAATATTGGGCAATTGTCAAGCGAAAACTTCGAGGATGCGGTAAAGAAGTGACAAATGCACAACAAGTGCGTTTAAAGTGGAATAAGTTCGCCGGTACAGTGTCACCAGCGACTGTGCAGATCATGATGGCATCGATCACAAGTAAAGTGCGACAGTTCGTTCGAAACGGTGAAATGTAATAACTTGTTATATATCGTTTGAAAGCGGAACAAATACCCTTTTGTTTGACGTTTTGATCAACCGTGTATGTTGTTTAATTCTTGAGTTATGATCACTTGAATGCGTCCAGATTTACTTTGAATCGGGCTTTAGTTCTGATGAGAACTTCAGAGTAGTTCAGAAGAGAATTTCAGGAAAGTTCCGAGAACTCCAGAGAAGCTCCATTGGCCTCAGGAAAATTTCGGGAAATTTGTGAAACTCCCCGAGAGCACCCGAAACATGTATGGCCAGTGTGGTCCTGAGTACTTAATATGGTCACCAATGTTCTTATTTTTGAATTCTCATATAGTTAGGTGTGTCACATGAGGATGTAGGTTCAAGTTTCACTTGAACATGTACGGATCTGGCCAACGTGGTCTTCTGTACTTATTATGGCCACCAATGATCATATTTTTGAATTATCATGTAATTTGATGTGTCGCATGTGGGTGTTAGTTCAAGAAGAATCTGGCCAGCTCCCCAGGGGTACCCGAAATGTGTCCGGATGCATGATTCTGATTACATACTACGACCTTGGATGATTATTTGGTTCACGGCTGCCGCTCAACCACACCGCGTTTTTCCAAAATGTTGAAAAAAAGCGTTTTTGTACAATGCCGCTTTTGCCGCAACGTGCTCATTGTGGGTTGTCAAACGGATTTCAGCGTATTGGAAAATTTGCGATTGCCGCTATAATTGTGATCAGCCCTTTATTGCCGTAAAATTTGCAAATTAAGAAACTTTGTAAAGTGGAATATTTCCTATAGTCTGAGTCTCAACCGAGTTTTCTGTCGTCTTGGTTTGTTGTCTTCGATGCTGGTCGCATATTTCCTTGACAACAAGAGCAGTCAATGAAATTCAAATTTCCAAAGGCTGAGATCGTCGCTGGCATTGCGCCTTGGTGAAACATCAACCTTCTTTCCAATTTGGCGTGTAACCTTCAGACCGTGAAGCACTTCCAGCAATTAACCCACCAGCTGCGACGAATCACAATGCCAGCGGGCGACACACATCGTGCGACAATTAGATAATTGGGCTAAAGAGAGTAGGTACATCTACATTGGCACAATAATTCCCTTTTACTTGGCCTCCTTCGACGATGCATCCATCCGAACGAAAGCGACGATGACGACGACGAATGCACTGCCGAATGGCGCATTCCGTTTTCCTTCACGGATTGACGCGTTTCTAGGTCGAAGCCGAGCTTCGAAATGTCGAAAGTCGGAGGTGCTTGGATTGAGGTTTGCTTAATTTTAGAACTAATAGATGCTAACCAACCTGTATTGAGTGGTGACCCTTGGACGGCTGCAAGCCCACCGGAACGAACGACGCCGCCGCCATAGTTGAGCAGGCTCCCGAACAGCGACGGAGTGGATTCCGCCGACGAAATCGACGATGGGTCCAGACGAAGCTGCGGCGCTAGGATGAAGACCACCCCGAGTATAATCCAGTTCATTATCATCCGGTAGTAATGACATCACCCAAATGCTCATTTAAATTTTAATTGAAGGGAGCAGCACATGATTTAACGGTTGTGGTGGTGGTGGTGATGGATGTGACGGCAACTGCGGCTTCTGGTATTCGGTAGACGGCAACTGGAAATTGACGTTGCGGCAGCACGCTTACTTTGCTAATTTATTCGTAATCACATAGAAACACACCAAATAGACACTGATTTCTGGACGCTCGGAACTTTGATGAAATCTTACACTATCGACATACACAGACACACACACTATTATAATAGCAAACTGGGAGGATATGATTGCAAAGCTAGCATGACTTTCCGGAAAATCTAAAACTTCATCAATCTTGTAATCTTCTTCGGATCGTGATTGGACGCTTTTTTACCACCGTAAACGATTTATCGACAAAATCAGAACGCTCATCGCTGATTTTTTATTTTCGCGCACATACACACACACACAACTACTTTTATGTGCAATCTAATTGATCTCTCTAGGAGGCTTGCTTTTCTTCGTTCCGATCGAAATCACATTCACACGCACTTGACCCGATAACTACCCATCAGCAGCGGCGCTAACACGACGAACCGACGAACCCGGCTTCCTTCACATCCCATAGTAGGCGGCGACGGTGGCGGTGGCGGCGGCGGCAGAAAACCTTCCAGTCATAGCAGTCTAATTAACCGATCATCTATTATAATTTTCGGTGCTTCCTTCGGATCTTCGCGCCTTGATTGATTGGAGGGTTGCTGTTGTTACTAACTAGAAATAGTGATGGCGGATGAATCGATAACTACTGCGCTGTAAGTAGAGAATAGAACAAACGAGGAATTTGATTAGTAATCAGCACTGACTTTAAAAAAAAAATAGTCACGAAAGGGAGCGGAAGCAATTCATTGACCTTCAACCCCCATCAAAACAACCGAGACATCAACATTCAAAGTCAAATCCGTCTCCTAGACGACAGACACATAGTCCCCTCTAAACTTCAAGCCCCGCGTCAAACCACAAAATAAAACCCATAACCACTAGCAGACGGGAAATTCACCCCCTGCTGATTGTCAGTTTTTCACCACGACCTTTACCAACGACGCCCTCTGGCGGGATTTAAATTCTGTATCATGTATGAGTTTTTATGGGATTTTCCAGTTCAGCAAAATAAACACAAAGATGAAGATTCACCCCCCTTAAAAGCATTGGCAAATAATCTTATCGGAACGTTTTGGAACGAGGGGTTCGCTTAATTTATGATGTTTCTATTATTTTATGTCACCGTCAAAGCCTACTGCCTACTATTGAATGCGAGCGAGTTTACAAGACGAAGAGGAGAACCGAACGAAACTCACGCACTCCGGAATTGGATATGAAATTGAACATACAAACACACTTTGTCGCGAGGGGCGCTCCCCCTGCGTTCTGGATTCTGCCGTTGAGGTGATTTTCTTACGTTCGTTGCTTACGTCGTCGCCAGTACAGTAAAAGATTGAAGGCGGCGTCGGAACAGGTTTTCATCGTTCTCGTTCCACGCAATTCGAGCTCGAGGAGGGTGATTCTTACTAGAATCGACCGGTTGTTGTGAACGTTTGGTATGCGCCGCGAACCAGCGAGGGGTGGGCGGGGTAGTTGATTCTATTCTAACTGGATTTTTCCGTTCCGTTACCAGCAAGGCCTTCCAAACTCAGGTTTCAGCACAGCAGCATCCAGAATTTCAGATTGGATATGTTTACGCTGAAATTACACAATCTAATTCGGCGTTCTGTCTGTCTGTTGGAAGTCCTTCAAATGCCACCTTTTGATTCAGTTGAATCGTATGATTGATGCTCACAATATCACTAGCGATGTTGATTAGCGGACTGAATCAGTCTTAACCAGAGGCACTTACGCGTTGACATGACAAGAGTTAGAAGGAAAACAGGAAGTCATGAAACAGTAGAACGCCTTAAGGAGTGGGGGAAAGAGCCCACCCTGTGTCCACAAAATGATGGTGACAGAATGTTGATTTGTCCAACTTGCTTCAATCAGGTGTCCCAACTAAAGACCCATTGGATCCAGAATTAACCATTTCGTCAAGCTTCTGCATTGATTTTCTAGCTGATGTCACTGCTGTTGTTTGCGGTGACATCTATCGGAAATTACGCATAATCTGATTTCCGTTAATTGTTCACAGAAGATGAAGATGGGCCATTTTCGTGCTATGGATTTATTGAAAAATATCGAACACACCAATTTGAAAAATTGGGCAAGAGTCGAGATGGCAGAACTCCGGTACAACTTAGTTCACAAATATGCGAAGTTTCATGGAATTCAGAGATGGAAAAATAAAAGCGATCCGTCAGTTGGCGTGTAACTGCTCACATAAGGAAAGGTAAATAAATTTAGAAATATTTAGTTGGTTAGAAATTAGAATCTCTGTTGAACCTGAAAATAAGAAGATCAAAACTCCAGAATAAATTGGACATCCGAAAATTTCAACTTTTTTACTTCTACAGCTGAATTCTAACAAAAAGTGTTAAAATTTCCTTGAATTAAATGAGACTGAGGTTAAATTTATCTCCATAATTCTCTTTCAAACTAGTTTAGAATGTATCACAGATTTGCCATGGTTCAAACTTAGCACAGAATTATCTTTGCAATTCAATCACCGACAAACCGACACGACACTTCATTCTGACTTATGCCCGAAAATCGTAGAAGGCCGAATTAAATGTGCAGTGATCCGAACTGTCAAAACCATAGGATTTTTTTATCTAGATAAAAATAATTTGTCCAGAATAGATCAGACACGAACCAATTCAAAACTTTTGCATGCGGATTTATGGGCTTAGCTAAATATTTCCCGCGAACGCGGATCCAGGTGTCAGTAGTGTTTTTTTTTTATTAATTACTTTATTTGTACAGGCTCAATCGAATAAACTTTACAGAGCCGAGTTATCATTTTTGTTATACATTATTGATTTCTTATATTTAAAGTTAAAGGAGCTGGACCGGATACTCGCGGTTCTCTCGAGGTTAGTGAGGATTTACAATTTTTTTTGGATGGGAAAGGGAGAGGGAGGTTTGAAATGTGGTTTACGATACAAATATTTAATTAATCCTAAAACATGAACGAATTTCTATTCATCTTGAAAACAAACATAAAAAAAAACCCACACGTACAAAATACAAACTAAACACATGGTTAATAAAACTTACAATCTAATGTTAATATTCTTAAAGTAAACATATATGAGTTTCATAAACTCCAGATCGCGTCTAGCCAAAATATCCCGAACTGGAACATTAGGTTGTCTACCTCGAGCCCGAAGGGAATCGTACAGTTCAGATCTGACTCCGCGATGCTCAGCACAAGACCAAAGGATGTGATCTGCGTCCTGGTAACCTTGTCCACATTCACAGAGATTGCTGTCCTTCAGCCCAACACGGAACAAGTGAGCGTTTAACGAATAGTGATTGGACATGAGGCGAGACATCATACGAATGAAGTCTCGACCCACATCCAACCCCTTGAACCAAGAACTCTTCGACACCTTAGGGATGATCGAATATAGCCATCGTCCCAAACTCCCTTCACTCCACTTATTCTGCCAGCTGACGAGTGACTGTTGACGATAAATGAAGAAAAATTCATCGTAGGCGATTTGTCGATCGTAAATATCGCCTTCCATAGCGCCCACCTTAGCAAGTGAGTCAGCCATCTCATTGCCCGGAATCGAGCAATGAGATGGGACCCATGCAAAGGTGATGACAAAAGATCTTAAAGATAAAGCACTTAAAAGCTCTCGTATTTTCATGAGAAAATACGAGGAGTGCTTTACCGGCCTCATAGAGCGAATAGCCTCGACAGAACTGAGACTATCCGTAATAATAAAATAATGATCTGGTGCAAGTGAGGCGATCGTTTCTAGCGTACAATGTATTGCCGCCAGCTCAGCAACATATACGGAACAAGGAGCTTGAAGCATTCGAGAGGCGCTATGAAATTCGTTAAAAATACCAAAACCAGCGGACGACTCTATTAGTGATCCATCTGTGAAGAACGATCTTGCGGAATCAACTTGGCCAAACTTTGCAGCGTAAATTGACGGAACAATCATGGAACGATGATGTTCTGGGATCCCACGAATCTCCCGCGTCATAGATAAATCAAAACTAACTGAATTGCCGAAGTCGGAGAAGCATACACGATGAGGATTATGCTGTAAAGGGCTGACATCCTGTGTTATGTACACATAGTACAATGACATAAAACGAGTTTGAGGGTTCAGCTCAAGAAGCTTTTCAAAGTTTTCGATTACCAGTGGGTTCATAACTTCGCAACGGGTGAGGAGCCTGAGGGACAATTCCGAGAACCGATCCGATAGTGGCAACATACCCGCCAACACTTCTAGACTCATCGTATGAGTCGAGTGCATGCATCCTAACGCGATACGAAGACAACGATACTGGATACGTTCCAGTTTGATGATGTGAGTTTTAGCCGCCGACTGGAAACAAAAACTACCGTACTCTAAAACCGATAAAATCGTTGTCCGGTACAACGTTAGAAGATCTTGCGGATGGGCTCCCCACCACGTTCCGGTAATTGTTCGGAGAAAATTGATCCTTAGTTGGCATTTTCGTCTCAGATACTCAATGTGGGATCTCCAGGTGCATTTTGAATCGAACCAGACCCCAAGATATTTGAAGGACATAGAATGAGTGATCGGTTTACCCAAAAGTTGAAGCTTTGGTTGTGCTGGGCTATGCTTCCTAGAAAAAACGACCAACTCAGTTTTCTCCGTGGAGAATTCGATACCTAGCTGAATAGCCCAAGTAGACAAATTGTCTAAGGTATCCTGTAAGGGTCCTTGCAGGTCGACCCCTTTGGGCCCTGTCATAGACACTACGCCGTCATCTGCAAGTTGTCTCAACGTGCAGTTGTCACTTAGACAATTGTCAATTTCTCTGACGTAGAAATTATACAAAAGGGGGCTTAAACATGAGCCCTGTGGGAGACCCATGTAACTAAATCGAGAAGCTGTAGAGTTTCCATGAGAAAAGCTCATATGTTTCTCTGACAGCAAATTGTACAAAAAGTTATTTATTAATGGAGAAAGGCCACAAGCGTGGAGTTTGTCTGAAAGGACTTCAACGGATACTGAATCAAAAGCCCCCTTGATATCCAAGAATACAGAAGCCATTTGCTCTTTTTTAGCAAAAGCCAACTGAATTTCTGTGGAAAGCAACGCGAGACAGTCGTTCGTTCCCTTGCCCCTACGGAATCCAAATTGAGTATCTGAGAGTAGGTGGTTCGTCTCAACCCATTTGTCCAAGCGAAAAAGGATCATTTTCTCCAACAATTTTCGAATGCACGATAACATCGCGATGGGACGATACGAGTTATGATCTGAAGCGAGTTTTCCAGGCTTTTTAATGGCTATAACTCTCACTTGCCTCCAATCATCCGGAACAATATTGAGCTCCAGGAACTGACAAAACAAGTTCAACATGCGCCTCTTAGCGACGTCTGGGAGGTTCTTCAACAAGTTGAACTTGATTCTATCAGCCCCCGGAGCCGAATTGCCACACGAAAGGAGCGCGAGTGAGAGTTCCAGCATTGAAAAAGGCTGGCTGATCTCGTCTACAGAATTCGTCGTTTCGCGAGGAATCATCTGTGCCGGCACGGAATCAGGACATACTTTTCGCGCGAACTTGAGAATCCAACGATCTGAGTACTCCTCGCTCTCGTTGTTCGAAGACCGGTTACGCATCCTTCGCGCCGCGTTCCAAAGCGTATTCATCGACGTTTCGCGCGATAATCC